ATGAGGACAATAGTCTGAATAATGTAAATAGTGTACATAATACCTCATCTCAGAAATATAAACAAGTGCAGATTATGATGATATATAGGAAAGATAACGGTTGATCCTAAACTTGAAGAAATTAGGATTGTGGCGGTCGAGGAAGCATCATCTCAAAAGTCTATTCCACAAAGTAATGGTTCTTGGGACCGAATGGAACTTCTTACTGATGAAATACGAAGGGAATGGGGATGAATCTTCCCAGTGTACGTGGCATGGCGGGTCTCAGTTGAGAGGGTCAGAACTGGTGGAACTAATGAATGTAACACGTCAGAACATTTTCCATGGAAATAGCGATAGAGTAGATAGATGTTTCGCCTGTTGGAAATTCTTTTTTTTTTGTCACCCACCCAGCAAGAAAGGCGATAAAGTCATTATAGCACAAGCGATTACTGAGAGTAAAAAAAAAGGCCAGAAAACGTTATTGTGAAGATAGGACAATAAAAAAAACAGATTTCAAGGAGACAGAAAATAAAAACTGACGTTGTAATTAAATTTTTGAAAATCAAACTTGACTGGAAAGCAAGATGCCGGAAGAGAGTTCCACAAGAGAGAAGTGCGAGAAAAGAAACTATTAGAATAGCATGGTTATCCTTAACACTTTCAATATTAAAATATGTTTCCTGATCGTGAATTTAATATGTGGTGGCCTTGTTAGGGCCAGAAATAACGGCACGAGAGAAGAATTGAATTAAATATATTAACAGAAACAGTAATACAAATCTATACAAACGAGAGTGTTACAGCAAGAATGTTCGGTCCGATTGTTGGAAACTTCCCTTTCCAAAAAGCAGTACCTGCTTCTATTTATACCTAGGAGAGTCCATACGTACGAGGGTAAATTACCATAACATAATACTACCCTTAAATTCGTGAAGTCGAGTTACTGAAGAGAAAAGCACATAAAATTGCCATGGAAATATTTATAGAAAAGGCAGAGAGAAGCTACGTCACGGCGGTGGGAAAGTGACTGAAGCCGAGATGCCAGGTCAGGGCCGATAACATTGCAGATTTTTCTTTGGATTTTGTCAAGAATCTCTAGATACAAAAGAAAACGCAACATTATTTTTCTTTCGTTTGATTCACTTCTAACTGAATATCTTCTGAAAGCTATATTTTATAGAAAATTTAAATCAATTTTTGTGCGGACTGAGTTTTCGTTTAAAAAAAATGTTACAGCACGCTGAAATTAACTTAATGTTTTACTGTTGATTTCACAATTTATAGTACTTGTGAAAGAGAACTGCCGTAATGAAGGCAAGTTATTGAGAGTATTAACAATTTTCATTGATTGTGTTCTTAATAAGATTTTAATTCACTGGGACAAATAAGATACGATTAAATTTAATCACACGCCCACAGTGGCTGTGAAGATGACAGAATACCTACTTGCTTAGCGTGGATTGCAGCAAACCTGCACCGTAGAGTAAGTGACAACGACCTGAAAGAGACGATTAGAACAGGTAAATCAGGAAATGAAAGAAAGGTACCTATCCACTTGCGGGTAGAATGCGGACAGCATGTGACTTAAAGTTGGAACTCGTTTCATTTTTTAGAAACATTACATAACATCCATATTCCTTTTATAGATATAATTGCCATAAAATATTGAAACTTATCCTCTTGGGGTTGAAAAATTTAGCAATTATATGCTAACGAAAATGCACTCTCGTGTATGCTCACGCGCGCACACACACAGAGAACTCAATTTTACGATAGATAGATAGATAGATAGATAGATAGATAGATAGATAGATAGATAGATAGATAGGTAGATAGATAGATAGATAGATAGGGTTATTCAAAAAGAAAGAGCAGATTTCGAGAATTTAATAAAAACAAATGCTAAGAGATCGAAAAATTTCAACGCAAAAAATAGGAATAGGTTCAAAGTTACTAAAATAAATGAAGTTTTTTTTCAGTCTTGTTTAAATGCTTCTTTTTTTCAGATTTTGTATAAATTTAAATTGTTATAATTTTTGGGAAAGAGGATCTTGTTCATCCTCTGTGGTCTCCCAGGTCACCAGATCTTAACCCATGTGAAATTTATCTGTGGGGGTATGTAAAAGAAAGAGTGTTTGTTTCACCTATGCCTGCTACTCTTGAAGATTTGAGACATCAAATTGTTGAAACTGTGAAGTCAATATCAACTGATCAATTGATTTGGGTGTGGCAAGACGTGGAATACCGTCTCGATGTTTGTCATTCAACACATGATGCTCATGTTGAGTTAAATAAAGTTGAACCAACTTTAAATAATAAACTTTGAACCTTTTCCTATCCAGTAATATACTGAATGTATTTCTGTCTACCACCTTTTTTTTTTTTATTAAATTTTCAACATTTTATCTTTCTTTTCTGAATAACCATATATATATATATATATATATATATATATATATATATATATATATATATATATATATATATATATATATATTTTTCGCGTATAAGGCTACCTTTAAATCTTAAAAATTATCCCTCGCCATAGAAAATAGGAGGACGTCTAATAAAATAGTTACAAAAAGCTAACCTTAAATCCTGTGGGGTATCGGCACTGCTACGTAGTATGCTTGCACCATGGATCGTAGTTGGTTAACAGCAGTATCGGTATGGTAACTACTGATGTAAATACTTCTAGTTAAAGTAATCCACATTCTAATACTGCACTTCAGTTATAAATGTAATAAAACTACTTCTTGATTCCACACGTTTTTGATCTGTAGAGTTTGGGCTGTGTTCATACCAATCATTATTTCTCATCTAATCTTCTGACTTTCTGTCCTAAGGTAACAAGGTGCCTCACACGTTTCACCCACGATTTCATTTTAAAGTTCTACTGCTCTTTGGGTTGTCATAACTGAAACTCCTTTCTCACGTGCCAAACGTCTCATGGGTTGAGTTGGATTTTTTTCTAATGGATCTCTTTAGCTCTAAGTTGAAATGAGGATCCCTTTTCCTGTTGTGACCGCCTGATCCAGTTTTCCACTCTATTCCCTCTATTTTAAACATATTCACCGTTCTCTTGATGGTTCTTGAATGGACTTTGAAGATGGAAGCCAAAGGATGAAGCTTGGTACCATTACTGAAGGCCTGAATGATCTTGTTCCTCTCCACATTGTTCATTTGGGAAGACAGTGGGGCTGACACAAAACGATTTTAACCTATTCTCTTCCTAGCTGAATAATACAATGGACAAAGGGTTTTTCAGTTATTTTTACGACAAATGGTGTCAAGACGGCTGTCTTATCTGAAAACCTTGAAAAAAGAAACACAATTAGTTTAGTGTTTTTTTTTTTCAATATTAAACATTTTGTGGGCTGGACATTTATACAGTTGCACCATTTGAACAATTTTGCTGTTACATTTGGTATATCTTAGTATATTGTACTGCATGTGTTTTGTCAATAATTAATTTACTTCTGAACTTATGTTATCTCTCATGCATGGGCGTCCTACTACGTGAAAGAGTAGCGTACAACAATAATAATTAGGAATATATATATATATATATATATATATATATATATATATATATATATATATATATATATAATTGTTTTTTTTTAATATATTATCATCGAAACATCGAAATTCCCATGTTTCAAAACTGAAACTTCAATTCAAATTCAAACATAAAAATTAAATTTAAAATACAAAGTTCCATTCCATTATCAAGTGCTGCTAAGAATAGATATTTATTCGTACGATTGTGGCACAAGGAAGTGGTGCTAAGAATAACTTTTTAGAAATTGACTCACTTAATTTATAAGTCCAGACAAACTTGATATTTTGAGATGTTGGGGTTAAGGAATATTCAATCTTTTTATTTTAGGGGTGTTAAGATTTAACTTATTTAGAAAACTCATGTATCTAATATATTGTAAAAAAAACAATTATAATATTATTCTCTACTGTTGTATCGAGCACTCTTTTTTTTTCATGCTATGAACTCTGAATTATAAATCTCATTATTCTTCCCTGTTATTTTAATATATATATATATATATATATATATATGAATATAAAGAGACAAGGGGAAAAACTATACTTAGCCGACGCGTTTCGTCTTCTGAGGAATTTTATCAAGGCAATGTAGGATTTATTATGATGCACGTATTTATATACACAAAAGCTAGTCATTGGTTTATCAAGGCTTTTAAATTCGAGAATGTTCATGAATGTAAATTACTTTCTCTTTTGATAAAGAGAAAGTAATTTACTCAGAAGGAAAATCCTCGAGAGTGCCGCCATCGAATATTATCAAAATATCAATCTACGGCCCGGTTTTTTTCCAATCTCACCTTTCCTGAAAGAATTACTACTTTCCCAAGTCAACATGTACAACAACAAATATGGCAAAAAAATCAGAAGAAAACAGTTAAATCCATCACTTCAGCCTTTAACGATGTACAGCACATACGCCTATTTCATACCAAAAAAAATCTAATCGAAATTCATATATTATTCATAAAAAACACTGAATATTACTCGCTCACTTTACTTTTCACCAGACTTTGAATTAGGCTACTTTGTGCCCTCCAGACTGACCTTTCACTCACCTGATAAACATTCATGAACGTTCTCAAATTTACAAACCTTGATAAACCAATGACATCTCCGCCTCATTGTATATAAACACGTGCAGTATAATAAATCCTACATTGCCTTGATAAAGTCCCTCAGAGGACGAAACGCGTCGGCTAAATATAGTTTTTCCTCCTGTGTATAGTGAACCTTTAATTAATACGTTTTCCGACAGTCTGTTTTGTTATCAGTTTCAGTTAATAGGCATCAATGTGATTTTTACACGGTCTTATGAAGAATACCGTGCCTTACAATAAATAAATACTACTACTTCTTAAGAAATGTAATTTACTATGCTTAGCTTAGTTTTCGCGTAAGTTCAGAGTACCGAGTGAGGATCGAACTCACTTCGCAGTCGTAATTGTCAACCCTACTAACACCGGCTTCCGTACAATCTCCAAAGTTAAACAACATCGAGCCTTGTCTGTAGCTAGACGGGTGACCGCTTGGGAATACCAGGTACTGTAAGCTTGCATGTGTGAATGGTGTAAGGCATAATGGCTCGGAGTTTTTGTTGGGAGAGGCGAGTTCCATTTCGATTTAGGTTGTTATATTCACTTACGCTTAAATACTCTTGGGAAATGTATGAATCCATATCTTCTTCCCCAGCTATGGGTTAATTACTAAAACTTGTATCACTAAACCATTATTATCTAAAAAAAAAAAAAGAAAAAAAAAACTTACAATCTAAAAATATTTTCTAGCTTTAAATAAACAGCAAAGTGTTGATAAGCCGTAGAAAACGAATCAGTCAATCAATAAAATACTGATTAGCTACACAGACATGTCTTTTAGATTTATTTAAAATCTCTGGAATATAAGGGTATAGAAACTGCCATGACCACAAAGTGAGGGATAGGTTTATATATTCATTGTAATATAGAACTGACTCCACACTTTATATCTAAATTAAAAATTACTTGTTTGTTTATCAAATTCTGATTAGGTTTGAATACCCCTCTTAACCTCCCAGCCATGGGTTAATTAGTAATGCTAAACTATAATTATCTAAAAAAAAAATCTTACAATCTAAAAATATTTTCTAGCTTTAAATAACCAGCAAAGGATTGCTAAACTGTATAAAACGAATCAATCAATCAATTAACACTGACTTGCTAACCTGAATATGTTACATTTTGTGCAGCCATATGCAAATCTAACAACTATGACAGGTAGTAACATTTAGAAGTACCGAATATCCTTTACATCAAATATTTATAAATTAACATGAATTTTACTAGAACATCATTTTTCAAAACTCAATTAACCAAATTAATCAAAAGTTCCATCTCTCTCTCTCTCTCTCTCTCACACACACACACACACACACACACACACACACACACACATATATATATATATAATGGTTAAACTCTAATGGTTTTATTAACACTTAGGCAGAAATCCACTTTTGCCAACAGTCCAGAAAGGAGTTCAAGGCACACTAACAAATACAGAAAACAAACAATGAGACATTAAAAGAACATAAGGAAAATTTATTCCTTTTAAAAATTTATGCTTTTTATTTGCCTGAAGAAGGTCACGAGACCGGAAAATCGTGTAGCAGAAATATGAAGAATAAAATATAATATATATACACTAAAACAAATCCACATTATAACCAAAAACGTTTGCGGTTTCTCTCTTTTTAAAAATATACATTTTCCTCTCGTTGGAACAACTATAACCTTTTCCCTATATATATATATATATATATATATATATATATATATATATATATATATATATATATATATATATATATATATAATATAGGTCTCCATTAACATAGGTCTCCATCGATAATAAGGCAAACCGTTCAAACTGATTGTTGTCTCTACCCTGAACACGTTGATTTAAGGGAAACAAAACAGAAGATTGGGTTATAAATAAAACTTACTTGTCTAGTAACACCAAACGCGTAACCAGTAACAGTCATTTTACATGAACTGATACCTTTTCAAGAGGAGCTGCATCTCCTAAACCTATAAATTCGTGAATTTGCGTCAAACATTTGCAAATTCACGAACTTATAAGTTTAGGAGATGCAGCTACCATTTCTTTTCTTGCTAAAAGTGATAATAAATTAACACATGGATAAAAAAAAATAAACTTAAATGCAAGCAAGAAAAGAAATGGTAACAAAAAAGATATAATGTCAAAGGAAAAGAGGAACAAAAAATAAATAAAAATAACGTCAAAAGAAAAGAGGGAGAAAGAAAAGGTAAAAATAACGTCAAAAGATAAGAGAGAAAGAAAAGGTAAAAATAACGTCAAAAGATAAAAGAGAGAAAGAAAAGGTAAAAATAACGTCAAAAGATAAAAGAGAGAAAGAAAAGGTAAAAATAACGTCAAAAGATAAAAGAGAGAAAGAGAAGGTAAAAATAACGTCAAAAGATAAAAGAGAGAAAGAAAAAGTAAAAATAATGTTATAAGAAACGGAAAAAGATGGAAAACACCAGAAATAATAAGAAAGAAAGAAATATAGAATTGTTTATTTGTTTTAATCATTTCTCCCAGAGCAAGGTGATAAAGCCACTAAGACACAGGGGGGGGGGCACTGAATGTGAAAAATCATTATTAAGGAGAAACACAATGACTTCTCCACCTTATAAAGAGCATTGGAATAGCGAAAGATGCCTTCCAAAAGCAAAGCAAAGTATTATATTAAAAACAGGCAAAATATTAAAGAAGCAGAAAAGTTTAAGCAAAGTATTACAAAAAAAAAATAAAAATAAAAACCCCGGAAAATAGAAAAAGCAAAGTGTATTAAACTATTATGTAATATCGGCCCTCCAATATGGCAGTGAATGCTGGACAATCTCTTCACAGATGAAGAAGCGACTTGATGGAACAGAAATTTGGTTCTACAGAAGGATGCTGAGACTACCATAGATTGAACATGCAACGGCGAAGTTTTAGAGGAAATGGAAACACAAAGGAAAGTTTTACATACACACTAGAAACAGACAGTTTAAATGTCTAGGATATAAAAATGAAGAATTTGACACACACAAGACATTGAAAGCAAGAAGGACAGAGGAAAGCAGTATATAATCTACCTAACGAGCTTGTGTAAATGGATGACAGAACAGCGATTAGGAGAAATAGCAAAAAGACAAAGCTTATTAAGAGATACAAAGGAAAGCAAGTTGTAGAGAGCCATCATCGCCCACGTTCTAAAGGGACACTGCAAATAGAAGAAGACAAATTTATTGGCATAATATGAATAATTGAACGAATAAAAGCCCTTCCCTATCTAATGTTTCTTCTGTGCGTCACATCATTTCAGGACATAGGCGTTTATGGCTCTACACAACTTCCTATCCCTTGTGACCCTGTATGAGACCAACGAATTCACGATGATCATTACCGTATTTACAAGATCAGCATCAGCAATTTTCGCTATTTTTCATTGCGGTTTACCACATCGTATATCATCATGTCAAGGAAGTAATCGCGGCGTAACATGCTTTACTCTGATGTAAAACTCTTGAGTCAACAGTTATCTTAATTTTGAATCATAATTTATTTTGTTTCTTTTTTAAAAATTCTTTTTAACTAACAAGGGTAAAATAAGTCTGTACTACTTTTAGCTTAGTCTGTCACGGGGCCATAATAATGGAACACCCAGTAATGCCTGGATTCCTTACACTCTCAATGGTTTACAACACTTGATTTCTTTGCGATAGACACTTTCAAATATTTGCTATTTTCCTGTTAATCTGATACATCACCACAATTATGGCTATATGTGTGATGTTCTACAAATCAAGATTGATAATCTTTATACAATACTAAACGCCGAAGAAGCAATAACTATGTGAAAAAGGTTGAATTATCTGTTTTCTATATTCTGGCTCTCAAATAAACAAATCTCCTTCATCTAAAAAAAAAAAAACAACCGAACAAAAACAAAACTTTATAAAGCGGCAAATATTTTAAAAATATGTTCAGAGAAAATATAATTTCAAATTTATCTTCTACTAATTTAGTAAAAATAAAAAAAAATAAACGAGGAAATTATTTAAGTATCGATCGTAATTTCTTCATTGGGAAGAATATTTGGTCTCTTTAAATGTCTACTGGTTCTCAAGTTCACTCCAAACTTCAAGTGAAACTCATATATACGATCTATTTCTAAAGATATTTGAAAAACGGTCGGCTCATTCGACCGCTCTTCAGCAGCGTGATCACACCCCTGGTGAACCGGTCGAGGACGGACCCGTGGCGGAACCAGTTGTTGAACACGACAGTCAGTCGGGACAAAGATGTGCGACAGCCTCAAGTACAATTCATAGGGCAAACCATCCAGACCGGGCGACTTGCCTCTTCCAAACTTCTATGCCGCGTAGGCTTCGCCCACCGTGATCATTCCCTTGCAGACTAAAAGCGAAAGACGAGGAAAGTCAGCCAAATAGCTGTGAAACTCCTCCTCACGGAGACCAGGCTCTTGGTAAAGCAGCGCTCGAAATGCCGCCGAAACGCCTCGCACATGTCACCAGTGGCTCGAAGAGTGTGCCCCTCCGGGGTTTTGACCTCACGAACGTACCGACGGGAACCTCGACGGATTTCTTCTTTGCGCAGTTCGGCGCCAATGTTCACAGCTTCGGAAGACATCTTGCTTAACTTTTGTCTAATTACCCGGCCCATGTAGCGTTCGCTAGTCGAACTCTGCAGGGCCTCCCTAGCTAAAGCTATTTCTAGGTGATCACCCCCCCCCCAGGTTCCGCCCGGGAAAAGCTATTTTAGTCATTGACTAAATGTTGCTTTGTTTGCCAGAGAGGTCTCAGGTAACTGTAACTGCTGCTCCTTTTTAAGTAATGAACAATAAGTACTGACCGTATGCCATATTAAAAATACTTGGAGATGTCATAAGATGAAATACTTGGAGATGTCCCCTAAGCATAAGACAAAACCACAAAATCTTCCATTCATATATATATATATATATATATATATATATATATATATATATTAATAGTTACCTGATGAATTTGCCAATCGTAAAAATTATGAATTTATCAAAGGTATAATAGCGGAATATTTAGTAAAATCATAGGCTAAGTTGAGTAAATATTTACATAATAAATCTCATATATGCGTAATGGAGTTATAAAATATCACAAGGAATTTTATTCAGTCAAATTATTTAGATATGACAATGGAATTTGAATCCATTCAAACCTTAATCAAATTGGGAATCAAAAATTATTCCCAGGCTTTTGTAACGGTGACCTTGAATCTATTCTAGAGTCGATCAGCGATGTTTTCAGTTGTAATGTTCCTGAATGTATGTTTCATTCGATTTAGCGATATTCCTGAATGTATGTTTTAGTTGGTCAGGGACTGTCCTGAATATAGGTTTGAATTTGACAGGCACGTTCCCAAATGTAGGTTTGAGATGGTCAGGGGCAATTCTGAAGGTATGTCTGAATTTATTCGCTATGTTCCTGAACGTAAAGGGTG